GAATACTTTTTAGTATGTTATAAATAATTGAAGTGAACTCACAGTATTGATTGACATGGACAGTAGAGGGACATTATCTGACAATAATTGGAAATTTAAACTGTGTCACTGAGTGGACCATATCAAGTGAAATTCAACTGTTTGTTAATTTTATCATCTTTATAGCTAGTCTTCTGCAAGAACGAAAAAAAGTGCACAGCAAAATCAAGTTAAGTTTTTAATTTTCTAAAACATTAAAGCATGGGTGGACCCAGGGGGGCCTGGGGGGGCCAAGCCCTCCCCCCCCCCCCCCCCCCCCCTTTTCGTGAGAAAAATTTGGTTGATTATACAGGGAATCACTGAAGCATGACTGTAGCGGGCCCCCTCTTATGGCAGTCAGTGGGCCCCCTTATAAAAAGTTCTGGATCCGCCACTGTAAATGCATTTGAAATTTATTGATCTAGAGCATGCTATGCCCTAAAACTTTTCCAGATGCACAGGTTTGTCTGTACTCAGAGTAAATTTTGAGGTGAATCCATTTTCATAGGCAAAGCCAAAGGGTCCACAATGTCAATGACATGAACCTTAACAGCTGGGATTTTACTCTTTTTCATAAGTGAGGCGATTTGCAGGCCTAATTATGGTAGGATTTGAATTCTTTACGATAGTGGGTCGATTTGGCAGGCCTAATTTCGGCGAGAAAAACTCCTTTTCAATAGTCTAAAAGTCGGTAGAAAGTGGGGGCGAGTTGGTGGAAAGTGGGGCGAGTTGGTCTGGGCGATTTGGCAGTTTGACGAGTTGTCCTGCTTCCTCAAAACAGCTAGATCTGGGACTATTATACTAGGCTAGATTTAGTAAAACCTTAAAAAAAGATGCAGAAATCACTCTTTAAAATGTGTGTGTATCACTGTTTGTTTAGTGTGAATGAAGTGTACCATAGACGTTTGAGGACAATAATGTTTCATGCAAATTTCGATTTGGCGCCATTTTCTGACAAACTTAAAATTACGACCCTTTTCATAGTTCTCCTGTTAATGAGGTAACAAACAGAAATTAGAGACTCAAGTTGTGGATAAAACGTGTGAATCCGAACTGTTAAATTACTGACAGGTAGCATATATATGTAGTGAGCTAATGATTATATGTTTTTCCCAATTTAATGAAAATGCGTCTGCGTTTAATTCATGCAAGGGTTAAAAGTTAACGAATTGAAGACCATTTTGATTTCTACTTTCACTTTCCACTTTCAGTTTGTTTTAACACGTTTAGCACAGGTATATTACACTATTCTGATCTTATTCGTGATATTTAAAAAAAACCCAACCTTTTATTGTTTCTCAATACATATACCAACAACTTTTTGATGCGTTGAGAGTTTCATTATTAGACAATATTTTTACAAAATATGCCTGCTTGTCAACATTACATTTACAAACTCTTCAAAAATTATTTTTATATTTGATGTATATATGTTTTAATTGTCAGATGAATTCTCTTGAGAGGTTGTGTTTTCTTTGTTGAACAAAACGGACCTTAAATAAAGTTTATCTATTATTTCACATTTGAAAAAAAAAAACCCTTATGATCTAGTACACACACTGCAGTCTGCAGGTGTAAGAGAAACAATTGGTATATTGAGTATAGTCCTAGAACATTTAAGAACATACTTTATTGCCATTTTGATTTTAAGGCTAATGGTAGGCCAAAGGGTGCAAGACAACTCGGAACGTCTATGAACATGATGAATGCAACTTGGACTGTCTATAAGTCAATCCAGAATTCTTTAAAGTCAACTCATACCGTCTATAATGTCAACTCAGACAAGGTATAAAAAGCGAGTTTGTACTTTTTAAATGATTTAATGTCATTCTATATAGAAAATTCAAAAGTTTAAACACTTCGATAGTTTTTATATGCCCGTTTACGGGACGTTTTATTTGCATCTGCACTGGTGTTATAGTGTGTTCTTTTTGTTAATTTATTGATCCAAATTTTAAAAGTGAATACCTTTTGAGAAAGTCGTTTTTTGTGATTGATACAAAGTATCGCCAAGACCTGTAATAAGCTTGTGTAAGTTGATTATCAATTTCTTGATCATTTGATAAGAATAATTAAATTTACATGACTGATAATTTAATATAGAATCACAATGATGAAATCAAAACTTCGTTTATATGATTTACCAACTATTTTTGAAATATTAATACATATAATGATAACAGAAATTTTCATTCACATTAAACAAATAATTTTGATATTTTCTTGCAAATTCAGCAGTATTTAATGGATACTTGTGTGATATATATTACATTTAATCATTTATTTAATAGAAAAAATATAAGTGAACCCACACCTGAAGTGGTGATTGTGCGCCTGGTAGGGTAAAAACGAGTGGATACCAGTAGGTATTCACAGTCATCTTGAAAAAAATGAATATGTCGACATATTTATTTAAATAGAACAAACTCTCTTTTATTACTTCATCTTGGTTGACAACTTGACATTATAGAGGGTCAGAGTTGACTTTATAGAAGCCTCAAGGTCTAAGTTTACTTTTTAGATGGTCAGAGTTGACTTTATAGATGGTCCGAGTTGACTTATTAGTCAGTCCAAGTTGACTCGGTCCGAGTTTTCTCCGGGCAGATGTCCCATATACAATGCTAGTTGGTCTACTGATTATTGGTTTTGTATTATATCTTGGATTCTATGGCAAAATAATGGACAAAACTAAAACGATTTCATGCTACAATTCTCTTCTTCTCTTCGGTAACAGAAAACCATCAACTTTCAAACTAATAAGTTATTGAATGTAGTATAAATTTGAGGTAGTAAAAACTCTAATACTGTGGATTCATTATTATTTGTGGTGTAATAATTTTTATGGATTTCATGAATATATATAAAAAGGTGTGCAATGAATTTGAATGTTGAACAAAATGCAAAAGTCCTGTAGGCTTGTATCCAGATTGAAATCAAGTATCCATACAACACAATTTCTCCTCTAGCTAGTTAAATTATTATCTGTTAAAGTCAAGTTACAGTAAATGGGTGTCACAGATTTTGGTAATTTTTGCATATAATTTTTAACTATAATTGAAAATCAGAAAAACTTAATTGCATTTATCTCTTCTATTAACTGAAATATTACTGATTGAATTCTTTAAAAGTATTTGTATAAAAAGCACATAATATCGGTCAAAAACATTCTTAGATTTTTCGTAAAAAGCTATATGTTGTTGGTACATACCTTTCAGTTTTAATGATGTAAAATAATGATAGGGTCACTGACTACGTTTATACAGTATGCATCTTTCAAAGTAGTGTTCAAGATGAAAAAATATGACAAAACCTTGAAATAAGCATAACACCCAGTGGCGGATCCAGGGGAGGGGTTCCGTGGGTTGGAAACCCCCCCCCCCTTTTTTTGACGATCAATGCATTTGAATGGGGACATATAGTTGGAACCCCCCCCCCCCTTTTATAAATGGCTGGATCTGCCCCTGACACAATTGCGTTGTAGGCTGTAAAACGTCCATTTCTGATGTTTTTCACTACCAACTAGGTAACAGATTGGTTAATACACCAAAAAGGAAGTCAGTGACCATATGATTATTTTATATCATTTAAACAGATATTTGTGTATCAACAACATATAGTTTTTGTCGAGCCTGCGACTTTTGTCGCAGAAAGCTCGACATAGGGATAGTGATCCAGCGGCTGCGGCGGCGTTAGCTAACTTCTTAAAAGCTTTATATTTTAGAAGGTGGAAGATCTGGATGCTTCATACTTTGTATATGGATGCCTCATGTTACAAAGTTTCCGTCAGTCACATGTCCAATGTCCTTGACCTCATTTTCGTGGTTCAGTGACTACTTGGAAAAAAAAGTTAATATTTTTGGTAATGTTAAATTCTCTCTTATTATAAGTAATAGGATAAATATATTTCGTATGTGCGTACCTTGCAAGGTCCTCATGCGCGTCTGACAGTTTTCACTTGACCTCGACCTCATTTCATGGATCAGTGAACAAGGTTAAATTTTGGTGGTCAAGTCCATATCTCAGATACTATAAGCAATAGGCCTAGTATATTTGGTGTATGGAAGGACTGTAAGGTGTACATGTCCAACTGTCAGGTGTCATCTGACCTTGACCTCATTTTCATGGTTTAGTGGTTATAGTTAATTTTTTGTGTTTTGGTCTGTTTTTCTTATACTGTATGCAATAGGTCTACTATATTTGGTGTATGGAATGATTGTAGGTGTACATGTCTAGCTGGCAGGTGTCATCTGACCTTGACCTCATTTTCATGGTTCAGTGGTCGAAAGTTAAGTTTTTGAGTTTTGGTCTTTTTTTCTAATACTATATGCAATAGTTCAACTATATTTGGTGTATGGAAATATTTTATGATCTATATGTCAGTCACGCAGGTTTTATTTGACCTTGACCTCATTTTCAAGGTTCATTGCTCAGTGTTAAGTTTTTGTGTTTTGGTCTGTTTTTCTTAGATAATAAGCAATAGGTCAACTATATTTGTTGTATGGAAGAATTGTTAGCTGTACATGCCTGCCTAGCATGGTTCATCTGACCTTGACCTCATTTTCATGGTTCATTGGTCAATGTTTAGTTTACTTGGTTAATGTTAAGTTTATGTGACAGTTGTAATAAAGCTTTATATTTAGGACTATCAACATAATATCAATGATTAGTAAAGAAGGCGAGACATTTCAGCGTGTGCACTCTTGTTAAGAAAAATCTATGGAACTGAAATTGGAGATTGGATGATATAAAGACAAATTTCAAAACATTTTTTGCTTATTTTATGTGCTTCAAGTATTCAATCAGCAATATTTCAGACAATAAAAGAGATAAATGCATTTTTCTTTCTGATTTTCAGTTAAAAGTTCAACGAACCAAAGTTTATGCAAAATTTTACCAAAATCTGTGACATAGCCCATTCTTTGAACTTGAAATGAATAAATCCATGGTAGATCAGAGCAGTAACCAGTACTTTTTTTCTTCAGAAAATGGAAGAGCAACCATTCTCAAATTTAAAGATATCATCCTCTGACTTTCTGGATACTCTGCAGGGTCGCAGTAAATGTCCAAAATGCAAAAGATCACGCAAATACTATTGTTACACATGCTATGTACCCGTGGACCAACTTCAAGGAAAAATTCCTTGTGTACAGGTATGTCCTGATCTCCATATTTTTATAAAACAATTCTGACAAAACATCAATAATATTAATATAGATAGGACCTAATTGATCTATTTCAATCAATTATATCAGCCAACTATTTAAGATTACTGTCTCATCATAATTTACTGTTATAAAACATGTTAGAACGAGTCTGGTTAAGTAAGTTTACATATTTTGGAAAGACTTAGTTTTAACAACAAAAAATTTCTTCAAAAGTATGCAAATTACAATTTATATACAACAGAAATTCAGGGATTCTGAAACAAGAACAACTTATATAAATCTGTCTCCTTTTAAATTGGGAAGACTTGAATTCCTGATTTTAAAATGATGTCACATTACAGAAATTTTTATTGGTTACATAGCTTGTTGAAGAAGATATATGGTAAAATATATTCACAACTGACCTAGACTTATTTTTGTATCTATTGTTGAAGACCAAATGATCTCACCTTTAAATGTCTTTTCAAGTCTTTTGAAAGCTGTCTCGTTTTATCAGGTTCAGTGTATACAGTTCAAGCCTTTACAGCTGGAATTGGCTACATAAGCTCAATTGAGCTATAACAAATTTAACTCCATTTGCCATCTTTCAATGAAATTTCAAATTCTTCATTAATGCTCAGAAGTGCCGTCTAAAAGTTTACAAACATAATAAAGAAACAAACTTTTAGATTGTACTTCCATATAATAAGCTAGAAACTAAAATTACATTTAAAAATAGATTAATTGCAAAGGGAGATAATTTTATTTAGCCCTATTGAGCTTTATAACTGGTCGAGCTATATTAGCTAAAACTGCAGATACATAGTACCTGTTTATCAAAGTTTTAAAGAATAAATGCATACTTAGAAATAAAGCCACTTTTTAAAAATGTTCTTGTATTTTATTTTACAAAAGTTCAGAGGGTTATAATGAGTATATGATCTACTAACTTTTTACCCTCTATTATACATCTCCTTATTTTATATGAAATCACTTGATATTTCATATTATATATCACTTTAGTAAATTTCATTTGCTAAAATATTCTTTCAAACAGTTTGATATTAGAGATATCAACAGTTTACAATGATGTTTTTTTGTCATTTTAGATACCAATTAAAATTGACATAATTAAACATCCAAGTGAAGTTGATGGGAAAAGTACAGCTGCCCATGCTAAAATATTGGCACCAGATGATGTGACTGTATACACCTATCCTTGTATACCAGACTACCCTAGGGATGGATCAGTAAGTATTGGCACCAGATGATGTGACTGTTTATACCTATCCTTGTATACCAGACTACCCTAGGGATGGATCAGTAAGTATTGGCACCAGATGATGTGACTGTTTATACCTATCCCTGTATACCAGACTACCCTAGGGATGGATCAGTAAGTATTGGCACCAGATGATGTGACTGTATATACCTATCCTTGTATACCAGACTACCCTAGGGATTAATCAGTAAGTATTGGCACCAGATGATGTGACTGTATATACCTATCCTTGTATACCAGACTACCCTAGGGATGGATCAGTAAGTATTGGCACCAGATGATGTGACTGTATATACCTATCCTTGTATACCAGACTACCCTAGGAATGGATCAGTAAAAGTATTGGCACCAGATGATGTGACTGTATATACCTATCCCTGTATACCAGACTACCCTAGGGATGGATCAGTAAGTATTGGCACCAGATGATGTGACTGTATATACCTATCCCTGTATACCAGACTACCATAGGGATGGATCAGTAAGTATTGGCACCAGATGATGTGACTATACACCTATCCTTGTATACCAGACTACCCTAGGGATGGATCAGTAAGTATTGGCACCAGATGATGTGACTGTATACACCTATCCTTGTATACCAGACTACCCTAGGGATGGATCAGTAAGTATTGGCACCAGATGATGTGACTGTATACACCTATCCTTGTATACTAGACTACCCTAGGGATGGATCAGTAAGTATTGGCACCAGATGATGTGACTGTATACACCTACCCTTGTATACCAGACTACCCTAGGGATGGATCAGTAAGTATTAGCACCAGATGATGTGACTGTATATACCTATTCTTGTATACCAGACTACCCTAGGGATGGATCAGTAAAAGTATTGGCACCAGATGATGTGACTGTATATACCTATCCCTGTATACCAGACTACCCTAGGGATGGATCAGTAAGTATTGGCACCAGATGATGTGACTGTTCTGTATACACCTATCCCTGTATACCAGACTACCCTAGGGATGGATCAGTAAGTATTGGCACCAGATGATGTGACTGTATACACCTACCCTTGTATACCAGACTACCCTAGGGATGGATCAGTAAAAGTATTGGCACCAGATGATGTGACTGTATACACCTACCCTTGTATACCAGACTACCCTAGGGATGGATCAGTAAAAGTATTGGCACCAGATGATGTGACTGTATACACCTACCCTTGTATACCAGACTACCCTAGGGATGGATCAGTAAGTATTGGCACCAGATGATGTGACTGTATATACCTATCCTTGTATACCAGACTACCCTAGGGATGGATCAGTAAAAGTATTGGCACCAGATGATGTGACTGTATACACCTACCCTTGTTTACCAGACTACCCTAGGGATGGATCAGTAAGTATTGGCACCAGATTGTGACTGTATACACCTACCCTTGTATACCAGACTACCCTAGGGATGGATCAGTAAGTATTGGCACCAGATGATGTGACTGTATACACCTATCCTTGTATACCAGACTACCCTAGGGATGGATCAGTAAGTATTGGCACCAGATGATGTGACTGTATATACCTATCCCTGTATACGAGACTACCCTAGGGATGGATCATTAAGTATTGGCACCAGATGATGTGACTGTATACACCTACCCTTGTATACTAGACTACCCTAGGGATGGATCAGTAAGTATTGGCACCAGATGATGTGACTGTACAGGTGTAATACCACCAAATCATAGTACGTAGCATCCGGTTGCATACGAAAATAGGTCGAAAAAATATTCCCTTGAATTTGACAGTTGTAGGTAATTAATCCTACATTTCATTGTAGTAAAACATTTCTGGGTCATAAACATATATCTTGGGTATTTAAAAGCACCATTATTTTTTTATTTTGGGTTTCTATAGAATATTTTGGAAACTTGAGGTTACATGGTTACTAAAGCTTGTACACAGGTTAATAAAAGGGGAAAATTTGATTGGTTAACTTCCAGTGATGGTTATTTTCTTATATGCAATGAAATTTTATGTGAAATTTTTTCTATAGTACTGGACAGGATAAAACTTTACTCATGCCAAGTATTTCTTCATTTGAAACAAGGATAAGTTCTGCACAATTTTTTGAAAAGTGCAAATTTAGCAAAGACTAAAAAATCAATGGTGGTATTACACCTATATACCTATCCCTGTATACCAGACTACCCTAGGAATGGATCAGTAAGCATTGTCACCAGATGATGTGACTGTATACCTATCCTTGTATACCAGACTACCCTAGGGATGGGTCAGTAAGTATTGGCACCAGATAATGTGACTGTATACACCTACCCTTGTATACCAGACTACCCTAGGGATGGATCAGTAAGTATTGGCACCAGATGATGTGACTGTATACACCTACCCTTGTATACCAGACTACCCTAGGGATGGATCAGTAAGTATTGGCACCAGATGATGTGACTGTATATACCTATCCCTGTATACCAGACTACCCTAGGGATGGATCAGTAAAAGTATTGGCACCAGATGATGTGACTGTATATACCTATCCCTGTATACCAGACTACCCTAGGGATGGATCAGTAAGTATTGGCACCAGATGATGTGACTGTATACACCTATCCTTGTATACCAGACTACCCTAGAGATGGATCAGTAAGTATTGGCACCAGATGATGTGACTGTTTATACCTATCCCTGTATACCAGACTACCCTAGGGATTAATCAGTAAGTATTGGCACCAGATGATGTGACTGTATACACCTATCCTTGTATACCAGACTACCCTAGGGATGGATCAGTAAGTATTGGCACCAGATGATGTGACTGTATATACCTATCCCTGTATACCAGACTACCCTAGGGATGGATCAGTAAGTATTGGCACCAGATGATGTGACTGTATACACCTACCCTTGTATACCAGACTACCCTAGGGATGGATCAGTAAGTATTTGCACCAGATGATGTGACTGTATACACCTACCCTTGTATACCAGACTACCTTAGGGATGGATCAGTAAGTATTGGCACCAGATGATGTGACTGTATACACCTACCCTTGTATACCAGACTACCCTAGGGATGGATCAGTAAGTATTAGCACCAGATGATGTGACTGTATATACCTATCCCTGTATACCAGACTACCCTAGGGATGGATCAGTAAAAGTATTGGCACCAGATGATGTGACTGTATACACCTATCCTTGTATACCAGACTACCCTAGGGATGGATCAGTAAGTATTGGCACCAGATGATGTGACTGTATATATGTATCCTTGTAAACCAGACTACCATAGGGATGGATCAGTAAGCTTTGGCTCTTTTTAATTCATATAAAAATAACATCTCTAATTTTTTATTTTTGTCTCGCTTTGATGGAGTTAAAAAGCGAGACATAGGTATGATGTTTCCGGCGTCGGCGTCAACAATGTATTAGTTTGTGATTAGGTCTAGTTCATGGTGAACCACTAGTGGTAGGTCAATGATATTTGGTATGCAGTTGTATTAGCATTGGCACATCTCATTACCATGGAGATTATTTGGCCCCGCCCCCTCAGTCAATCTATTGACTTTGAAACTTTTCATAGTTAACATGTATTAGTTTGTGATTAGGTCAATTTATGGGGAACTACTAGTGGTAAGTCAATGATATTTGGTATGCAGTTGTCTAAGCATGGGCATATCTCATTTCCATGGAGATTATTTGGCTCCGCCCCCTTAGTCATGGTCTATAGACTTTGAAAATTTTGCTTAGTTTACATGTATTAGTTTGTGATAAGGTCAGTTGAAGGGGAACCATTAGTGCTAGGCCAATGTTAATTGGTGTTCAGTTGTATAAGCATTAGCACATCTCATTTCCACGGAGAATATTTGGTCCCGCCCCCTCAGTCATGGTCTATTTACTTTGAAACTTTTGCTAAGTTTACATGTATTAGTTTGTGATTAGATCAGTTTAAGATGAACTGCTAATGTTAAGTCATTGATATTTGGTATGCAAATTTATTGACATTTGCAAGTATCGTTTCCATGGAGATAATATAGCTCCACCCCTGATCATGGTTCATTGACTTTTTTACATACAATGTAGTTTACAAGTTAATGTTTGTGTTTAGGTTTGATTAAAGGGAACGACTTATAATAAGTCAATGGTATTTGGTATGCAGTTGTATTAGCATTGGCACATCTCATTCCATGGAGATTGTTTAGCCATGTACCTTCAGTCATGGTTCATTGACTTTGAATATTTGCATTACTTACATGTTAAAGTATTGCAATTTTAATTTCAACATTTGCATTATCAAAATCACAAAAAGGCGAGACATAACTCTGTGATAACAGTTTATTGAGTACAAATTTTTCTTTCCAGTTAATGTTAATACTGGTCCTGCCATAGTCTTGCCATAGTCATCAAATATCTGTTGTCACTTTATCATACTTTTGATAGGTTTTTCTCTGAACTTTTTTGCTAAATCGATCAGCAGTTTGATAAATAAAGGCAACAGTAGTATACTGGTGTTCAAAAGTCATAATTCAATTGAGAGAAAACAAATCTGGGTTACAAACCAAAACCGAGGGAAACACATCAACTATAAGAGGAAAACAAAGAAACAACAGGAACACCGAAGTGCAACAAAAACAAACGCCAACACACATAGAAACGAACTATTTGATAACAACTGCCATATTCCTGACTTGGTAAAGAACATTTTAAGAAAAAATGGTGGGTTGAACCTGGTTTCATGGCATGCCAAACCTCCCACTTTATGACAATGTTAAAAAATATCCCTAAAACACTAAGTGACAGAAATACAGCACAAACGCATGCAAGAACATTCATAACAGAGAAACGAACAAACAAATAATATAATAGTCGACACAACATGCAAACCACAGAACAACAACGAACATATTCCATCAACGAAAAACACCACAGGATATAAGAAACAGTGACGCGCTCATGTAACTAACATGCAATCTCGAACTTTATATAATTATTTTCACAATATTCGTCCAAACAATTTTCATGACAATGATGGTATGGAAAGGCAATTTTATAATTATTTGGACTAAAAACAATAAGACATAACAGATTATCCAACCGAAACCATAACAGACACATCAAAATAAATCCATGAATGTTAGATGTACAAAACACCGAGTCACGTCGTAAAGCAATGTAAATTCACTCTCAGTATAACAGTCATATTCGGGAATAGGTCACATTTGGTACTTAGCAGACAGATGACATAGATGTTAAATTGATACACAGCTTTTTTACAATGGTGGCAGTACATTGTTTTAATGGGGGAACAATAGTTGTAGAGCATGAAAATTCTTTTCCATGTTTATTCCAAAAACTTGGCCCATCTCATTCCATTCCTCTTCTTATATGCTAAACAGTAATATTTATTACAAATTGGTTGAACAGATTAGGCCTAGCTGTTGCCACATATCATGTGGTATTGTTTTTCATCAAAACCTGAGTACTCGTAAACTAAAAATCCTATATATGAATGCGCCCAGATTAAGCAGTAGCATCAAGATTGGTAGTAACGTATTGGGCCACCATGTTTTGTTTTTTCATAGCTTTTGTTGTTTTATAAGATGTTGGTTTTTTCTTTTAATGTTTTTGACTTCATTTTGGATGGTCATTCTATACTTCCACAAGGTCTTTTGGAGTATTTGATTCTTGTAACAACTTTGCAACATTTGTTTTGTGAAATAGATTAATATTATCCTTCTTTTGATGATCTATAATAAATAAAAAAAATTCTTCTGTAGGTTGTTTTGGTATTCCCTGGTAATGACTCACTAACGTTAGAAGAGTTAGCCAATCAGAAGGATATAAAACTAAAGTCATGCCAATATGAAGACAAGGGCAATGTATTATGCAAAGAATCTCACATGGAATCTGAAGATCCTAACAGTGATGATTCTAAACCTGTGTCTCATACTGCTCAGGTATTTAATAAAACGCTGGAGGAACACCATGATTCTGATAACCATTGGCAGATATCTGACAGTATTTCAGGGGAAGTAACTCCAGCTTTTTCAACAGAAACACAGCCTGGAGAGTTACAAACATCTGGAAGCTGCATTATAAAAAGAAAATTTGAGAATAATGAAGAAGCTATTTCATCAGTTGACAAAGCAGTGTTTAAGAGAGCTGTGTTTATAGATAGTACATGGAATCAGACCAATAGAATATCAACTGATGAAAGACTGAAGGGTAAGATGCTACAATCACATATCAGATGTCATGCTTAATTAATATTTAAGTAACGCTTTTCTTCGACTTTTCCTGTTTACCAAAAATAACAAAACTGATATGTCATAACTAAGTAGTGAACCACCATTTTGAATTCCTGAAATCAACAAATTGAATAAATACAGTAGAATTGAGCATTAAGCATTGAGGTGCTTATTTCTTGTAGGGACATATTAATGGTATAATTTTGTTCATCTGTTCATCTACTCAATTATGTCTTGTGATTATATAAGTTTTCTATAAGGGATAGATCTTCAAATAAAATTTCAACACAATATTTTGCTCTATAATATAATTATAAAAATAAGAAGATGTGGTATGATTGCCAATGAGACAACTCTCCACAAGAGACCAAATGACACAGAAATTATCAACTATTGGTCACCATATGGCCTAAAACCCATACCACATAGTCAGCTATAAAAGGCCCCGAAATGACAAATGTAAAACAGTTCAAACGAAAAAACTAACGGCCTAATGTACAAAATAATGAATGAAAAATTTTAAGATATGTCATATCAGGTTAATTTTTTGAATTCTTTAAATATGGGTTTTTAAGGTAATAGACCATTAACATTTGGAGTGTATCATATATTAAAATCTGAATATATGTATCTGAATTGTTAGGATAATGTTTAGCCTACGGTATATAATTTTCTCATGCTCTATTGAATACATAGCAATTACATTGCTCAGTATTAAGATTTATGGTCTGGTAGGCTTTGGAAGTACATAGAAATATTCTTTTTATGAAACAAACTAGTATTGTTTTTTCATAAGACCAACTAATATAGACGTGGTTATCCAGGGCAAACCACTGATTATGTTACAGGTAATTAGATGAAGCATCCTCACTGTGTAGAAATAAATGTGTGGAATAAAACTTTTTTACAATCTGTTTGCAGGACTTCCATATATAATGCTTAAAGACAGAGAATCAAAATTTTGGAGACATCAAAGAGAAAATCCTCCATCTTATTTATCCACAATTGAAGCCATTTATTATTTATTGTGTGACTATCATGATTTTTTTATATCAGTCAATTACAATGGGGATTATGACAATTTGATGTTTTTCTTTTCATTTATGTACAATAAAATTCATGGCTTATATATAGGAAGAACCTTGAGAGCAGACTCTCAGAGAAAGAAAGTCAAGAAATAAAATTATGTTGTAATGTGTCGGAAACAGTTTGTTGTTTTTTTTTTTCAGACCACAAAATTATGAGGATATGTTATATATATATGCAGTAGCTGGAAGGGTTACAGTTCTTTTTTAGACATGATGATTCTTTCCCAATAATTGTAGATATTTGTCAATGTTTTCTTTGCACAAAGAAATGTTGAAAGCCTCTTTTAAATGTATTCACAATTCAAGATTCTCTGGGACTTATCTTGAAAACTTATTTCTAGTCTATTGTTGAAGACAGTGTGCTAACCTCTGGAGGTCTATTTGAGTTTTTGGGGTAAAGATTATATTCATGCAATCAAAATGCTTATGTGGCTCGCTTAATAGTTTATCAATTTTCCAGACTTTATCACTGCTTTTAAGAAAAAACAAAAACATAGTGCATTGGGCATTGAGCACAGCATTCTATACATCCAATCCATTATAATTTCAAGAAATGTATATTCAGATATTCAAGTTAAAAAATGATGTGAATGTACACCACCAAACCAAGTAAAATTACAATAAATTGTGCATGGTGCATGAATCTGGTATTTGTTCTAAAAATATCAATGATGTCATTGTTAAAGTAATATTTATTATTGGAGTTATTTTCCTTTGTCCACATTTGAAGTTGAACCAACTACATTATAGTGTTGCTTTCCAATGCTTATTACAATGCAATATTTATGTCTTAGTTCCCACTGCAAATTGAATGCAATCTTTACCCTTCAGTGCTCACAAGCACTTTAATTTCTGTTCTTGGGTTGGCTCATCATTAATGTACATCCCACATTTCCTTTTTTATTCATTTGTATTGATTTTGGTGATTGTGGTCCAATCTTTCAGAATAATACCAATAAGGGACTGAAACAGTGTTTTCTGTAACATTTATATACTCATATTTCAAAGATTTCTTTTTCTTTTTTCAAATTTTTTTTTTGATGTTTGTCAACAGATTTGACATAGGCCATAGCATATGTTGTCCCGAGATACAAGAGTGCCAATAATGGTTTAAACACAAATATTTCCTTAATGTTTTTATCCCATTAAAAAAAAATCAGTTCATCTACTCTAGCCGTCTTGCAATCATTTTGCATCTGGCATAAAGAATTAAAAAAAAAATTACCTGAAACTACTATAGGTCAATTGGACCAAAATTTTGATTGCATCATCCTTAGACTGGGCTTAGAGTATCAAACTAACTATGTCACTATTGCTAAAGAAATCACATTTTTTAAAGGCAATTATAAAAGTTTCAACTACCAAAAGTTTGGAAACAAATGGTCCTTCAAATTATTTTTTTTAAACATTTTTATATTTTATTAAATTTTTTTAGTTAACAGTGTCAGCTATTTCAGGGACCAACTAATGGATCATAAGATACTCCTCCTTTGCATAGATACTTTTTTATTATGTTACAATATAACTGTAATAAATAACTTAAAGTTGAGGATGGTGATCAGATCTCATATCTGATTTATTATATAAACAATAATCCATTGCACTAAAAGTATTTTTTAAATTTTATAAAGCAACATGAAATTACTCAATTATATTAATAAATAAATAGCACTGATATAACATGACAGCTTTTAAAAAACAAAACAATTGGTGACTGTAGATGCTGTCAATTTAGAAATCCTGAACAGCCAAGCACCTCCTCTGTAACAATTTTACTTGTACACAACACAGAGAATTTGTATGGATACAGAATGTAAAACAGAAATAAAAAATGTCCGTTGGTACTCATGAATAAATGAGAATCAGCACCATAATTAGAAATCTTCATTCAAGTTTAACAAATATACGTTGAACAATATAAAAATACTGCACCTCATTGTATTTGGGAAAAATCCTAAACGGACTTTCATCGTTCCCAATTACATTGAAAACAACACAATGTAACCATAAAAATGTGATACTAATATAACCAGACTATTTACTGGGTATTAAATGAAGATTCAAGTCGGTATAAAGTTTAACAATTTAATAAACGATCCAACAAGAATATAAAAAAAGTAAAATCACAAAAATACTGAACTCCCGAGGAAAATTCAAAAAGGAAAGTCCCCAATCAAATGGCAAAATCAAAAAAAAACAAACACATCAAACGAATGGATAACAACTGTCATATTCCTGACTTGGTACAGACATTTTCTTATGTGGAAAATGGTGGATTGAACCTGGTTTTATAGCTAGCTAAACCTCTCACTTGTATGACAGTCGCATCAAATTCATAAACGATGTTCATAGGCGGATCCAGGGGGCCCTTTCGTGGGAAAAATTTGGTTGATTATATTAAAGGGAATCACTGAAGCATGACTGGAGCGGGACCCCCCCCCCCCCTTTATGAAAAGTTCTGGATCCGCCACTGATGTTACAATATTGAGGCCGGTGTTTACGGTTAAAGAACCTTTCCAAAACTGCATATAAATTATTTTTAAGAAGTATATAAAACAGAATAATAAAGAAATACATGTAACTACGGATTAAGCAATTATTGTCTATTGTTAAGATAATCTGATAAAATCTGTCTTTGACATGTAGATACGGACTCCATTATCGGATTAGTAGAAACATACATTTTTTAACCAAAAGATAACTGTGTGGGAATATTTGAGCTATAATGACAATTAAAAGATATAATAATAATTAAAGTCAGAAAGATGATAGTCCAAATAATTAACATGCTTTCCATCCGGTTATACTAATCAAAGCGAAAACTTATAAACCTACAAAGTAAAAGACATTACTATTATATATTTGTCCATCCTAAGCTCAAAGTTAAATTTTGAGAATCAAAGTCATCACTTGTCTCAAGTATCTCAAACACTATATTTTATCAATAAGTTCTGGTATCTAAAACCTAATTTAAGTTTTTGAGAAATAGAATGAGATGTTCTCGACTAATTTTTGTTTCAATGACTTTGGTGATGTACATGAATGTCTGAATAGTCACTGCAAGCTTTATGTATATAAAGGCAGCTATGATACAAAATCTTCATATACAGGTAATGGTGATTTATCATTTTGGATAAATTCATTAATTCAAGTTTACCATTTGGAACCATCAGTTAAATAGTTTCCTTGTGAGCAGAGACCATCTTTCAGGGAAATCATAATAGAAACGAAAGTTCTTGGATATGGTATCAACAGGAATATATATACTTTATATACAGGAGCTGTTGGAATGTTGTTTCATAGAAATTTGGCAATGGGAATCATCTTTTTATAATAAAGTTACTTTTCAAAACGTAAAAAATTTCAGCAAAATAAGACCTACAAATAAGTCAGCAATTGCCAAAATAGTCAAACGACCCTTTATAGGAGTTACTGCTTTGGAAAGACGATTTTTTTTTTTTTGTCAGAAACTATAATAGATAGTGAGAAATTGTAAAGAGCTTAATTGTTCAGCAAAATCAGATCGGCAAATAAGTCAAACATCGTCTGAATCGTCAACTGACCCATTAAAGGAGTCTTAGGAGTTTTTGTCCTTGAAATACGATTATTTACTAATTTATTTTGGGTTTTTTTTTTGGCAAAAACTATATTAAAGATCGAAATTGTGAATAGCAAAATTGTTCAGCAAACTGTGAGATCTACAAATAAGTCAACGTGACCGAAATTGTCAATTGATGCCTTATAGGAGTTTTCAAGGAGTAAATGCCCTTAAAAGATAATTGGTAACCTTTTTTTGGCAGAAACTATATCAAATTAAGATAAATTATGAATATCATAAATGTTTATCAAGGCAACATGGCTGAAATTGTCAATTGACCCTTTCCCCGGGTGTCATTCGGTTTATCGAGAGAATTGATCGTGAAAGAATAACTAACGGTGGTCAAGCATTGCGACCAGATCGTGAAAGATCTGGTATCGGATCGTGAATGCAATTAAGTGTAATTCTACTTCAAAATCTATGAAACAATCTGCTGTAGTTTCAAAAGGTGGAACAAATTAGAAAAAAAAATTATGCCTGTCAAAATTATTCAACTTCCTTAATAAAACTGTGCACTTAATAATTGAAAAAATGCAGTATTTTTTAAGAAAACACAAAAGGCGACACACAATCCTAGTATGAAAATCATTAAGAAAAAAATCACGTTTTGTAACTATAATAGTCACATTCCAATATATCATGATATATTTAAAACTTAATCTTTATATTTCAGATAGTCCAGTAAAATATATTTATGTTATTACTTGAAAAAGTTCATATTATTTTTGAAAAAGTCTATTTTTGTTGATTTTTTATCAAAATTGATCGTGAAAGATCATTCAACGCATTATTTGGATCGTGAAAGACGAGGCGTGACCACCCTTAATGATCAGAAAACAGCATTTGTTTACCAATTGATATACTTGAAATTGGTTGAAGTGTGTAATTACTTTTTAATAACGTAAATCATTGCTTTAATTTTTGTTGGTGATATATATTTTTTTATCCATATTTAGACCTGTAATTATTTATGAGGCAATGAATGCTACGCGTAACTAGGCGTCCAAGATAATAAGACCTACAGCAGCGTAAATGGTCGAAAGGTCAATATTCAATGTATACATAATGCGTAATGCATCCACAAACGAGGGATGCGAGAGGTGGTATGGTGGTTTTTTCCCGGAAATATCTTAATGTGTGCATGCGTTTTTGTTTTCGAAAGGGTAATGGAGGTGTATAAGTCCACTCTGTGTTTTTGTTACTTGTTTTTACTTTGTATCGATCTGATGAGTTAAGCCCTTTTCGACTAATTTTATAGTTTGTTCAATTGGTGTTCTGTTACACCACTTTCCCAGGTTAGAAAGAAGGTCGCTAACAAGTTTAACCCCGCCACATTATGTAGGTGCCTGTCCCAATTCAGGAGTCTGTAATTCAGTGGTTGTCGTTTGCTGGTGTATATCATATTTGTTTTTCGTTCATTGTACATAAATCAGGCCGTTCGTTTTCTCGTTTGAATTGTTTGATATATGTCATTTCGTGGCCTTTTATCGCTGTATAAGTTTTACTCATTGTTGAAGGC